AAAAAATACAAAAAACTAGCTGGGCGAGGTGGCGGGTGCCTGTAGTCCCAGCTACTCAGGAGGCTGAGGCAGGAGAATGGTGTAAACCCGGGAGGCGGAGCTTGCAGTGAGCTGAGATCCGGCCACTGCACTCCAGCCTGGGCGACAGAGCGAGACTCCGTCTCAAAAAAAAAAAAAAAAAAAAAAAAGAAAAAATAACTTGCAGATTCTAACTTGAATTTATTTTAGTTCAGTTTAAGTTGTTACCAACTGTCTGGCAGTATATTTGATACTATTGAAAATCTGTTAACCAAAATGGGAGGGTAAAGAAAGTCATGCTACCTCTTCAGGTAAATCGTTAAGCCAAATTGAGAGGACCAAACATGATTTCTTTATTTGCTTTCTTCAGAAGTACTATGGGCGTAAATCCCCAATTGGGAGAGATGTTTGCCGTCTACGAAAGGCCTATTACAATGCCCGGCATGAGGCATCAGCCCAAATCGATGAGATTGTGGGAGAGACAGCAAGTGAGGCAGACAGCAGTGAGACCTCAGTCTCTGAAAAGGAGAATGGGCATGAGAAGGACGACGATGTTATTCGCTGTATCTGTGGCCTCTACAAGGATGAAGGTCTCATGATCCAGTGTGACAAGTGCATGGTGAGGGTCAGGAAATGAAGCAGAAGCTTGGTCCTGATGAGCATGGTGACCATATTCAAAGAAGAAGCCCATGCCTCTTTTGGATTGGCTTGAAAGGCTTTTTATGAACTGTAACTTAGCCTTGGTTTCTGTTAGGTTTCTATGTTTACCATGTTGCCTTTCTCCTCTTATCTCTCTTTCTTTCACTTTATCCTTCCCTTCTTTTTCTTTCCTTCTCTCCTCTCTTCTTGTTTTTTTGTTTTGTTTATAAGATAGGATCTTGCTGTGTCGCCCACACTGGAGTGCAGTGGCATGATCTCAGCTCACTGCACCTCTGCCTCCCAGGCTCAAGCAGTCCTCCCACCTCAGCCTCTCGAGTAGCTGGGATTACAGGCATGCGCCACCATGCCCAGCTAATTTTTTTTTGTAGAAATGGGGTTTCACCATGTTGCCCAGGCTGGTCTTGAACTGCTGAGCTCAAGTGATCTGCCCACCTCAGCCTCCCAAAGTGTTGGGATTACAGGCGTGAGCCACCACGCCTGGCTCTTTCCTTTTTTCTGCCCACTTTTCACTGTACACTTTTCACATAATCTGGATCAAGGAGAATGACAGTATTTTATATAGTGCTTTGCCTTTTGAATCATTAGTGATAGTATACTCTATTAGTATGAATCCTCTGAGAGAGTGAAATATGTTAATACAGGTAGGGCTCCTGATGAAGGAGTCAAAGCCTGAATTTGAGCCCTAGTGTCCCCACTAATATATGTGAACACATAACTTTATGTGTAAAGTGGCTGTAAGTAACACATAGGATTGTTGGGAGGATAAAGTTAGACAGGGGTAAATAAAAACATTTTGTACCTGTAAAGCCTTTCAGAATAGCCATAGCATTTACTTAAATTACTTAGTAATAGTTTAGTAGTCTATCCATTTGTTTTCCTATTCTCTCTCCATCTCCCCATTTTATTTGCCCGGATCTACAGATTATGAGTCAATCTGTATACTTTTGCTCAGAAAAGTCATTATTCTTTTTTCCTCCTATTTTATCATTTATCTCCAATATCTCATTCGCCCAGTTATCACTTAGTTCCTCTTTTACTTTACCCTGACCTATTGCTAATTTTTTATTCTGGGCTCCCAGGACACTCTCAGTAAGTCATAGCCTCCATGTTCCCCCAAACTGTATGTTTTTCTGCAGGTATGGCAGCACTGTGATTGTATGGGAGTGAACTCAGATGTGGAGCACTACCTTTGTGAGCAGTGTGACCCAAGGCCTGTGGACAGGGTAAGCTGCCCCTCATAAAACTCTGATCTATAAGTAGGAGAGGTATCACATGGTATCTTACCTATCCTGCTCCTGCTTTGCAGAATTTCCTTTAATTAGTTGTTCAACCTCTCTGGGCCTTGGCTGCTTAAACTTTACAATAAGGGTCATAATTCTGTTCTTCCCTATTTCAGGAGTATGATCAAAGGGAAAATAAAATACTTAGAAATCTGTGGAAGGAATGGCACTAGATAAAACTAAGGTTTTTGGCCGGGCACGGTCACTCATGCCTGTAATCCTAGCACATTGGGAGGCTAAGGTGGATGGATTGCCTGAGCTCAGGAGTTCGAGACCAGCCTGGGCAACACGGTGAAACCCCGTCTCTACTAAAATACAAAAAAAAAAATTAGCCAGGCGTGGTGGCATGCGCCTGTAGTCTCAGGTACTTGGGCGACTGAGGCAAAAGAATTGCTAGAAACCTGGAGGCAGGTGTTGCAGTGAGTCGAGATCACGCCAGTGCACTCCAGCCTGGGCGACAGAGCAAGACTCCATCTCTTAAAAAAAAAAAACAAAAAAACAGGCCGGGCGGGGTGGATCATGAGGTCAGGAGTTCGAGACCAGCCTGGCCAAGATGGTGAAACCCCATCTCTACTAAAAATTCAAAACTTAGCTGGGCACGGTGGCGGTGTGTGCCTGTAATCCCAGCTACTCAGGAGTCTGAGGCAGAAGAATCACTTGAACCTGGGAGATGGAGGTTGCAGTGAGCTGAGATCACACCACTGCGCTCTAGCCTAGGCAACAGAGCAAGACTCTGTCTCAAAAAAAAAAAAAGAAAAAGGCTGGGCGTGATGGCTCAGGCCTATAATCCCAGCATTTTGGGAGGCCGAGGCAGGCAGATCACAAGGTCAAGAGATCAAGACCATCCTCGGCCGGGCGCAGTGGCTCATGGCTGCAATCCCAGCACTTTGAGAGGCCGACGCCAGTGGATCATGAGGTCAGGAGTTCAAGACCCTGTCTTGAAACCCCGTCTCTACTAAAACTACAAAAAAAATTAGCCGGGTGCAGTGGCAGGTGCCTGTAATCCCAGCTATTTGGGAGTCTGAGGCAGGAGAATCACTTGAACCTGGGCGGCAGAGGTTGCAGTGAGCCAAGATCATGCCACTGCACTCTAGCCTGGGTGACAGAGTGAGACTCAGTTTCAAAAAAAAAAAAAAAAAAAAAAAAAAGACCATCCTGGCCAACATGGTGAAACCCCATCTCTACTAAAAATACAAAAATTAGCTGGGTGTGGTGTTGCGTGCCTGTAGTCCCAGCTACTCGGGGGGCTGAAGCAGGAGAATCACTTGAATCTGGAGGCAGAAGTTGCATTGAGCCAAGATTGCACCACTGTACCCCAACCTGGCGACAGAGCAAGACTCCGTTTCAAAAAAAAAAACAGAAACAAAACTGAGGTTTTTATAAACACTATCAGATGTCCATGAAAGGAATAGCTTATAGAATCCAGAACTTGGTATTCTTAACATCATTTATGTTAGACAGTGGTTTAAGTGAGAAGAGCACTGGACTCAGAATCAGCAAACGTTAGTGTTAGGCTCACTTCATAGGAGAGAGGGTGGGTGGCCTGCCTAAGTCATTAAGTGGGTTCTTGGCTTGGCTCTGCTATCTTTATATGTGTGATTTTGGGCAAGTCAATTTTTAAAAAGAAGAGATTTAGGCAGTATTTCTTAACAGTGTTGCTGTTGTCATGTTTAGGTGCATAGTTCTTATTGTGATGGATGCATTTCAGAATGTTTGGCTTCCTTGGACCCTGGGCATTAAATACCAGTAGTATTACCCAATCATTGTAATAATTAGTCTCCCTTAACACATTTTCATATGGCCCCTAGATTACATAGAGCAACTACACAATTAGTGCTTCATAAAACATAGATTGAGATACTTAGCCTATCACTTTTGTCCTCTACCTTCGCTTTTCCAGGTTTAACAACTGTAGTTGCTTTCATCTTTTTTATATATCTGTGATATATTGAAATGACTAAACAGTAAGTTTTGATTGATTGAGAATTCTAGGTTTTAGTTCTTTTTCTCTCCTGAAGAGAAATAAGTAGGCTGAATGTAGTAATTCCAGCCCTTATACATTGGCTTTCTGCTCCTATCAGGAGGTTCCCATGATCCCTCGGCCCCACTATGCCCAACCTGGCTGTGTCTACTTCATCTGTTTGCTCCGAGATGACTTGCTGCTTCGTCAGGGTATGTATTACAGGAGCTAACCCTACTTGTCAGAGGTGACCTTTCTGTATAGTAGGAAGTCTCTACTGTCTCCTTCATAGTCATTGTCTCCGTACAGCCTTGAATAGCAATAAAATGTAAGTTTTTAATATCTGCAGTCCTTGTGCTTACATGCATCACCTCTCCATCAGATAATACTAATTTGAAATGATAGACATGTTATAAAGCTAATTTTAAGACTCGAAAAACACATAGGAAGCTCAATAAATAGAATGCCTACCTTATATTATTGTCGTAGTCTAGAATTGATTATCATCACTTAACACTGCTGCTTTTAGCTCTCTGTATTTATACTGTTTCCGATTATGAGTTCTATGTAGATCCTGAGTCAAATAGATGCCTAACAGAATGCATACAAGAATCATTTTATGTTTCTTCTGTGTTCTGGGTCTTCCTAGGTGACTGTGTTTATCTGATGAGGGATAGTCGGCGCACCCCTGATGGCCACCCGGTCCGTCAGTCCTATCGACTGTTATCTCACATTAACCGAGATAAACTTGACATCTTTCGCATTGAGAAACTTTGGAAGAATGAAAAGTATGTGCTGAGGTCCTGTCCTTTTCTTCCAGCCATGCTGTACCAGCGGAGCTGAATGTTCACTAGGATCTTGCTAATCAGTTAAACCTCTCCCTTCTCACTTTTCCTTTTTTAGAGAGGAACGGTTTGCCTTTGGTCATCATTATTTCCGTCCCCACGAAACACACCACTCTCCATCCCGTCGGTTCTATCATAATGAACTATTTCGGGTGCCACTGTATGAGATCATTCCTTTGGAGGCTGTAGTGGGGACCTGCTGTGTGTTGGACCTTTATACGTATTGTAAAGGTAAGTGATCTGGGCTAGTTAAAAAATGACTTCGGGGAGGCAGCCATCTTGCTGTTGCCGCGTGCTGGTGTTGGAGGACCCTCCCTGCTTCAGATTTACCAACAGCATGAATCAAGAAAAGTTAGCCAAACTTCAGGCTCAGGTCCGGATAGGGGGCAAGGGTACAGCTCGCAGAAAGAAGAAGGTGGTATACAGAACAGCTACAGCTGATGACAAAAAGCTTCAGAGTTCTCTAAAAAAACTGGCTGTGAATAATATAGCTGGTATTGAAGAGGTGAACATGATTAAAGATGATGGGACAGTTATTCATTTCAACAATCCCAAAGTCCAAGCTTCCCTTTCTGCTAACACCTTTGCAATTACTGGTCATGCAGAAGCCAAACCAATCACAGAAATGTTTCCTGGAATATTAAGTCAGCTTGGTGCTGACAGTTTAACAAGCCTTAGGAAGTTAGCTGAACAGTTCCCACGGCAAGTCTTGGACAGTAAAGCACCAAAACCAGAAGACATTGATGAGGAGGATGATGATGTTCCAGATCTTGTAGAAAATTTTGATGAGGCATCAAAGAATGAAGCTAACTAAAAGTTTGGTTTTTGGAAGCTGGCATGGACTAGATTTAACAAATCAGCTATGTGGTTCCAAAGTTTTACAGACACAGAGAACATCACCTGTTACTAGTTCAGTAATATAAATATTTTGTATATTAATAATGCTGTTTGTTCAGCATTTTTCAGTCATTTGATTTTGCATTTTGCACTTCCTCCCAGGATATTTTTTTGGTCAAAATATGAAGTATTGGTGCAGTTTGAGGGTGTTTTGTTTTTTTGATTCCTGGTTTTTTTGTTTTTTGTTTGGGGTATTTTTGGTGTATGTATGTTTATGTATGTGTGTGGGTATGTGTATATACAGTGGAGAGCAAATTGGAAAACAGTTCTATTTATCCTCCTCCCTCCCCAGTAGAAATAAAAAAAAAATCTTAAAAAAAAAAAAAAAAAATGACCTCGGCCAAGTACAGTGGCTCACGCCAGTAATCCCAGCAGTGTGGGAGGCTGAGGCAGGCAGATTGCTTAAACCCAGGAGTTTGAGACCAGCCTGGCCAACATGGCAAAACTCTGCCTCTATAGCCAGGCATGGCACTGTGGGCCTGTAGTCCCAGCTTCTGCGAGAATTGCTAAGCCTGGGAGGCAGAGGTTGCAGTGAGCCAGGATTGCACCACTGCACTCCAACCTGTGCAACAGAATGAGACCCTGCCTTAAAAAAAAAAAAAAAAATGACCTCAATGACCTCATGTCTCCTGTTCATTGCCCACCCCATTCTTGTTGTCTGTATATGATGAAAGATTCTCCAAGCTTAGCTATGAAACTTCAGAGAGCTATACTTTATTTTTCCTTTCTTTTACCTGGTGCTTTGTACTCAATAAACGTTTATTCTTTTTTATTAAATTTAGTTAATTTTCTTAATACTGTGTTCTAATTTCAAATTCCAGCTCCACCACATTTTATCTATGTTCCCTTGGGGAATTTACTTAATCTAAGTATCAATTTCCCATTGAAAATAAGGATTATTATCTATTTTAAAGAGTTCTTAAAAGATTATATAAAATAATCTACAAAAGCACTCAGCCTAGTTTATGGTTTAGAGTAAAAGCTCAATATATGTTATTTGTCATTATTAGCAGAGTTCAGTTGCCTAGACTGTTCTCTCAGAATCATAGCAAAATAGTCTAAAAGAATATGTATTCCATTCCAAAACTGACAGACTGCTTGCAGTTCTGTGATGCTGATGAGTCCTCCTTGTCTCAGTTAAAAAGCGTTCATTTACAAATGTGCTTCCCTCAAATTTATACCTCTATTCTTTTCTTGTAACTCCCCCATAACCTGCTCTGTTTTTCCCTGAAAATACTCCCTCACACATCCCTGCGGTACTCAGTTTACATTTTTGGTTTATTTCCATCCATTCTGCTGTATATTTACTTTATCTTTTGTTGACACTAGTGTCTGAGAACTCTTTGTCCAACAACTACCAAATGCTTAGTTGTCCTACCTCTTTAGCTACCATGTAGGGTTTTAAGGATCTAGCTGCTCTCCCATTGGTGTGTATGGGGTCTTTGGGCAGCTCAGGGGGAGAAATGGGGAAATAGGATTTCTTAACACTGGTTGGACCCATAGGGAGACCCAAAGGAGTGAAGGAGCAAGATGTGTACATCTGTGATTATCGGCTTGACAAGTCAGCACACCTGTTTTACAAGATCCACCGGAACCGCTATCCTGTCTGCACCAAACCCTATGCTTTTGATCACTTCCCCAAGAAGCTCACTCCCAAAAAAGATTTCTCGGTGAGTCTCCTTCCTTTCTTAACACTACATGTTAGGACAATCTGGTTCATGCATGAAATTCACTAAGCGAAAATCTTCATGTAGCTCTCTGCTTCTTCATCCAGATTCCATCCCAAGCTCTGAAAATCTCTGTCTCTATTTGGGACATTTGAACAGCATAAGTACATTTCCTCACATAGACTGTATCTCAGAAAATTGTTGATTATAGTGTTATACCTTTCCTCTTTTCTCTTTCGTCTGTTTAATCTTTGCTGTCGAGTCCCACATCTGTAGGTTTTTGTTTTGTTTTGTCTTTCACACCCATAATTTTAAGAAACAAGAACCCTGAAAAACGCCTTTTTTTCCTCTCATTGAGAACACACCTATAAAAGAAGAACCTTCACAGAAAATAATTCAGGGCTTTTTCTTTTTATGCCCGCATTAAAAATGGAAGACATGATCATTATGTAAAATTTGTGAACATGGTGAAACCCTGTCTCTACTAAAAATACAAAAATTAGCCAGGTGTGGTGGCGTGCGCCTGTAATCCCAGCTATTCAGGAGGCTGAGGCAGGAGAATCGCTTGAACCTGGAAGGCGGAGGTTGCAGTGAGCAGAGATCACGCCGTTGCACTCCAACTTGGGTGACAGAGCGAGACTCCATCTCAAAACAATAACAAAACAAATAAAATTTGTGGTAGTGATGTTTATTGTGTAAACATCATGGTGACTCGTGTGTAATCTCAGCACTTTGGGAGGCCAAGGCAGGAGGATCACTTGAGCCCAGGAGTTTGAGGTTACAGTAAGCCGATTGTGCCACTGCACTCCAGTCTGAGTGACAGAGACCCTGTTTCAAAAAAAAAAAAAAAAAAAATTAAGTATAGAAGCATTAAGAGGAAAAAAGTTATGTATATACTCCACTATCCAGAAAATAACCATTTTTAACATTTTCATTTTCAGACTTTTTCCTGTATATTTTTTCTTTCAAATTGTTGAGAACCGTGTGCCAGTTATATGTTTTGTCATTCATCATTCCATAAAGATTTTGCTCATCCATTCATCTGTTTGCTTTAATAAAACCCTGGCTGAGCTCCTCATTTTGAGTCTTCTTTTAGTGGGCCTGTCAAAATTCATAGCTGTCACCCTGGAATCCCTAGAAATAATCTAACCAGAGCCGGGCACGGTGGCTCACGCCTGTAATCCCAGAACTTTGGGAGGCCAAGGCAGGTGGATCACAAAGTCAGGAGATTGAGACCGGCCTGGCTGACATGGTGAAACCTCATCTCTACTAAAAATACAAAAATTAGCCAGGCATGGTGGTGCACGCCTGTAATCCCAGTTACTCAGGAGACTGAGGCAGAAGAGTTGCTTGAACCCAGAGGCAGAGATTGCAGTGAGCCAAGATTACGCCACTGCACTCCAGCCTGGCGACAGGGCAAGACTCCATCTCACAAAAAAAAAAGAAAAAAGGAAAGAAAAAGAAATAACCAGAAAACAAAGCAATACATTCCTGTTTTCCCTATTTTTTTTTTTTTTTAATTTTCCAAACCGTCTTTTGCATTCTCTGCCCACCACCAGGTCTTTCCTCACATCAAGACTTATTTGGTCTTGCTTGCTCAATCAATAGCTTACTGATTAGCTTTGAAACCCCAACCTTAACTACAGTCATGTGTAACATGTTTCAGTCAACATTGGACTGCGTATGCAACGGTGATCCCATAAGATTATAATGGAGCTGAAGAATTCTGTCCTGTCATCTAGTGATGTCATAGCTGTCGTAACATACTGCAATGTATTACCTTTTCTGTGTTTAGGTACACAATACTTAACATTGTATTACAACTACCTATAGTATTCAGTATAGTACTGTGCTGTATATATAGGCTCGTAGCCTAGGAGCAATAGGCTATACTAAATAGCTTAGGTGTATAGTAGGCTATACTATCTAGGTTTGTGTAAGGACACTTCAAATCACCTGACGACATACTTCTCAGAACATATCCACATTATTAAGTAACATATGACTGTATTTAAAAGGTGAAATGGAGTAGAGAAAATCGTGCACTTATCCCTCCCATTGACATCCTGGGAGCACAAAATGCTGATAATCATTGTGGCCTGCATATTAATAGAAGTACTAGATTTCTCATCTTAAAACAAAGTCACCCAAGTTGTCTACTGCCCTACTATGTTCCTTATCCTGAGTGGCCCCAGAGGAGAGCTAGCTTTCCCAGCTTCTACAATATGCTTACCTCTTCCTTTTCTTATCTGCAGCCTCATTACGTCCCAGACAACTACAAGAGGAATGGAGGACGGTAAGTCCTGTGGGGGGATATGAGGATCCTAAGGGATTGACCAAGAGCTTGAATGGAGCAAGAAAACAAACAACTACCCACTCAGCTCCACTTCTAGGACTGGGTATTCTCTGCAGAATAGCCCAGGGTAGCGCCAGCACTATGGAAGAACTAAACTTCAGTAGATGTGGTCCCATTATGGAGCCTTAGTTGGAGCAACAGAGAGATGTGCAGAGATTTGAAACAGAACTCCAGACTCGGAAAAGTTTCTTTTAGATGTCTGTAAGCTTTCCCCATTACCTCAAGGTATATCAGCTCTTGGTGCCTCTATCAAGGAACAGATGTAGCGAGTACAGTTTTCACTGAGGTATGAACTATGGGTTCATAGTTTTCATTTTTGCTTATTTTGTACATGAGGATTATTCCTAAAGAAAGATGACAGAAGGCTTTTTCTTCAGTCTCCTCATCTGTTCAATGGGGGCATAACAACTGCTTTACCTACACCAATAGCTTACCATAAGGGAGAAAATATTAGACTATTGAGGTAAAAAAGGGAAGCAGGAAAATTTAAAACTCCATTTACATATTTATTATTGTAGTTGGATTATTGGCATCACAAGGTTGTGCTATACTTTTCTAGTCATGAAGCAGTCATTTAGAACCAGCTAAGCAATTTTATTAGCCCTTGTATATTTTATGGATTCCTATATCATTTGTGCATATTCCTAAGAGAAATAATAAAAGTTGAATTTTACAAATAAAATTAAATTTCAGGTAAAAGTGGCCGGGCGCGGTGGCTCAAGCCTGTAATCCCAGCACTTTGGGAGGCCAAGACGGGCAGATCATGAGGTCAGGAGATCGAGACCATCCTGGCTAACATGGTGAAACCCCGTCTCTACTAAAATATACAAAAAACTAGCCGGGCGAGGTGGTGGGCGCCTGTAATTCCAGCTACTCGGGAGGCTGAGGCAGGAGAATGGCGTAAACCCGGGAGGCAGAGCTTGCAGTGAGCTGAGATCCGGCCAGAGCAAGACTCCGTCTCAAAAAAAAAAAAAGAAAAAAAATTTCAGGTAAAGGTAGTGATTTGTTCAAATAATAATAAAGCAAAAATGAAAGTCAAGTTTCTTACCTCAAGCTCTAATTGCTGGACTCCAGGATCTCAAGCCATCCTGAGATCTCCTTCCCTTCATCCCCTTTTCCTCCTCAAGTGTCTTGCACTAAATTCAAATATCCTTCTGGCAGATCATCCTGGAAGTCTGAGCGCTCAAAGCCACCCCTAAAAGACTTGGGCCAGGAGGATGATGCTCTACCCTTGATTGAAGAGGTTCTAGCCCGTCAAGAGCAAACAGCCAGTGA